TGTGAGGCTTGAATCACAGGTCATCCCGAGTAGAGGCAGCTTCAAGTACCTTGGTTCAGTTATTCAGGGGGGAGGGAAGATCGACGAGGATGTCGCACACCGTATTGGGGTAGGATGGATGAAGTGGAGGTTAGCATCTGGAGTCCTGTGTGACAAGAGAGTGCCACCGATACTCAAAGGTAAGTTCTATAAAGCGGTGGTTAGACCGGCCATGATGTATGGGGCTAAGTGTTGGCCCTTTAAGAACTCACATATCCAGAAGATGAAAGTAGCAGAAATGAGGACGTTGAGTTGGATGTGCGGGCACACTAGGATAGATAAGATTAGAAATGATGATATTGGGGAGAAGGTGCACGTGGCTCCCATTGATGACAAGATGCGGTAAGCGAGACTTAGATGGTTCGGACATGTTCAGAGGAGAAGCCCAGATGCTCCGGTACGTAGGTGTGAGCGACTGGTTGTGGAGGGCACGAGAAGAGGTAGAGGGCGGCCTAAGAAATATTGGAGAGAGGTGATCAGGCAGGATATGGCGAGGTTCCAGATTTCCGAGGACATGACACTTGATAGGAAGATGTGGAAGTCGAGTATTAGGGTTGTAGGTTAGGAGGTAGTNAAGGTAGTTGAGTCTTGCCTTACTTCGTACCATTGTGGGACTAGCCAGGTAGGGTTTTTGTTTAAGATAGCTAGTGGCAATGTTGTGTCTTACTATTTCGCTTTTCGGTGAAGGACCTATTTACTAGCTATCGCTTTTGCTTTGCATCTTTCTTCTGGATTTCATGGTGTTCTTATTTTTCCTATGATTGCTGTGGTGATACTAATATTGTCTCCTTTTGTCCTTTTGTCTTTTTGTTTTCTTGAGCCGAGGGTTTTTCGGAAATAGTCTCTCTACTCCTTCGGGGTAGGGGTAAGGTCTTCGTACACACTACCCTTCTAAAGACCCCATTAGTGGAATTTTACTGGGTTGTTGTTGTATGCCTCTTTGACTTTCTCCATTGCCTTCCCTCATGTTGTCTGGGTATATCTACTCAGTCTTCCATGAGAAGAGATGGTAGTTATATATATAGTTATACAAAGTAAGAGAATGCTTTGCTATTACGCGAGATATCTTATGAATAAAATATTAAAGATATCTTATGAATAAAATATTAAAGATATCTTATGAATAAAATATTAAGTGATTATAAAGAATTGAATTTAGTTTAGTTCAGTAAGTTTAATTAATCGAGATATATACTTTATATGTCGTAATTTACATTTATTGGCCGTATTCTAGTACCCGTATTTGCACTTGAATCCATACCCTCGAATCCTAAATTAATGTGATGAAGAATCCGACCTATAGATCCTCACCTGTATCAAATACCCGCACCCGAGTTTGAGCAAGATAGCATATGGTACCCCACAGACTTCTCTCCGGACCCCTCTAATGGCTGCAGATTTTTCCGAGCCTGTTGTGGCCTTTTGGGGGCCTCGTTTGCCTTCAGTTACATCATCAACCTGTTTGTCTGTCTGCTGTAGTAGTTTGCTGTTTCTCAGTCCTTCAGAAGTGAAGTGCGCGCTTCTTTGAAGTGCACAATTTATGACATTAAAATTTACTAAACATATATTGATTAACGACTATAATTCAAATTGCAATTAATTCAATATCCAACATACAATAATGCCGATATGAGAGTTGCCTGGTATCAATGCTAGCGGGAGGTAGCATGCAGCTGGTTCTGGTGGAATAGTCGAGGTACGCTCAAGTTGGCGCCCTCACTACCGTGATAAAAAAAGTGCTGATATTAATCCAATTCCCTGAAATTGTGATTCAAACAACTGTCTGCTTTTCGGTGGAATCTATTTGTGCGTCATTGTTTGAAGCACAAACTTCTATGAAGCCTATGGCCTCACCCATGAAGCGATAACCTCTTGCTTCACATCTCTTCATCGATTCAAGAGACAATGAGATGGCTTTTAATAACATTGCTCTTATACTCCTGGATGTTCCTCTCCCAGGGACTCTAGAATCTAGGCGACTTTTGGTTTTAAGTTTTTTCAACTGCTCATTGGCGAGGAGCTTGAAAGACCCTCTATTCCCACCCGCTCTGCCCAGCAGCTTTGTGAAGAGCTTCACAGAACCTCACTGCTAGTAGCTTCATTTTGCCTCCATCTTTGAATATTGCTCATGAAAAATTGTTATGTATCAATCATTCATTTAGGTACAACTCGTTGTTTTCTTTCTTGTGTATTTCTTTTCCTTGAACACTTAGCTTGGAATAAACTTCTTTCAGGATGAAGATATTTATTCATTTTTTGAGCCAGAGCTTCCTCTTGGACAAGCAGCAACTACAAGAACCAAGATAGCTAACCATCTCAATAGAAATACTTCAAATCATTCAGCTGGTAAAAGTGGGCATTGGGCAGTTAGTTACAAAGTTTCCCAGCAAGCCTCAACCTTAGACAAGAAAGCTGGCAGTAATGAAAATGGAAATTGGTGGTCCATGATGCGTGATAGAATGACAGTTCATGAAGGGTCATCGGTTCTTGACCTCAAGGCTGATAACTACTTCTCTTGTGCAGTTGGTAGAAAGTGCTCTACTTCCAGATACCTTCTTGGTTCATCAGCTGATGTTGTGTCCCTACTGAAAGAGCTGGCCTACTGTTCATCTTACAGAGCTGCTTCTTCGTACAAATAGAAGTCTATTATTTGAGGTACATTCATATTTTACTCATTTCAGGTAATGTGTACCTTGTGACCAAACATCTTGGGCTAATTTAGTATATTGTTAAACTTATCCATTAGGAAAAGTTACCAAGACTACAGCCACTACAAGCCTTACCAAGTTGAGCTCGAGGGTTGGCCTTTCTTTCTCTGTTTTTATACTCCAGCAGCAAATCTTATCTTCAAGAAATACAATTTCTAACACAACCTTTGCATAAAGCGGGATAGGACAGATAATGAAACTGCAAACATGCCCATTTTCTTTTTGGTTGTTATGTTACTTCATGTAACTGTGAGATTGTTGATCCTTCCATATTAGTTGACCTACTTTTTTTGTCTGTCATGACTTAGTGCATCACTTTCCCTAATTGGAGGACTTTTGGAGAACAATTAAGTTTAACAATCTAAAGCTACTGATTATTATCTTGATGTAACATCCTTTTAGTAGTGGAACAGATATAGAGGATTCATATAGCCGAACCAAGCTAATTTGGGATTAAAGTACAGTCGATTGATTCATTCATATTTTGACATTTTAAAATTAGTTTTAAACTATTTATTTATCATATTGATATATGACAGTACTGTCAAGATCTTATTCCTAACCTGCATGTAGGTACAGTAAGTTGACTAATTTGAGATAATGTTATCTGAATAAAGAAAAATATTCTGTATCATGTAATAGGATACAGGTCAGTCATAAACTTGAGTATCTATCTTCTTTTTTTAGGTACAGACCACATCAGATCTGCTGATACGGCAAAATAATACTGCACCACGGTGTTTCTAGACCGTTCTTGCTGAGTTTAGCTTATGTTGTCTACATGTTAAAAGTAATGGAACATGTTGGCACTATTTACTTATCCGGTCTTTTGATCTTAGCTTATTGGATATGCTAAACCTCCTTTCAAGCTGTGGAAAGTGTGACTGCTGATGCTGCACTGTTTTTACATGCAGACAGACACTCGGGGAGGGATAGTACGATCGCGTTCATTCACAGCTGAGGAAACATGCTTGTACTTTCCAAGAGTTAAGCATATAAATAGAAGAAATTCCCCTGAAAGAAAATTTAGTAGAAATAATGTCCACAGGACCCTTGGGATTGGCTTGTAAACGGTATCCTTTTGGTTGGATTTTATAGAACCATATGCCTTGCCTTTTCATTTCCTTTAGATGTGTTTTCTTCATCCATAATTTTCATTGCCTTTTCAGTTCCTTTAGATAATATACATTTGTGTTTATATAACATATATACGTTGTAAATTTATATGGGCTATTTGTACATCATGCCTCTTTATAATTTTAAAATAAAAAAAATAACCTTTTTAGATCTCTTATCTGTAAATGACAGATCTCTTACGTGTAAAAGTGAATCTCCCATACGTAAAAAAAAAGAAAAGAAAGAGGTAGGGTCATAAAACTAAAAATAAGTTTGTAAAGAGCCACAAAATCAATTGACCCGGATGAAATTTGAGTATAAAAGTTTAAACAAATACCTTGTGATTAAGGCTGTTAAATGTTTCGTGAGAAGAGTACAAAATTTAAAAGACATGATATCGATTGGAGGGAGTAGATTCTATTCAGTAGCGTACAAAATTTAAAAGGGATGAAAAGGGAATTAGCAATCTCACTTTGCCTGTGGAATTGCTAATCCCCTCAATTAGTGTGATATATATAGTCGAACCATTTCTCAATTATCATTATATCCTCAAAGTCACCTAATCTGGAAACCAATCGCGAAAAGCCAATCTTACAAATAAATGTTTTTTCCCTTCAAATTGAGTTTCAATATTTGCCTTGGCATGATTAACAAATTTGGAGAATGTACCCTTTTTTTCTCTAGATTTAAATTTCTATTTCCTTCCACTTTTCAAGCTTCAATCAGAATCATCAAGATTTGTTATGGGACAAGTGCACATACAGCCATTCTCAGGGATGTTATTTAGGGATTTATTTTTGTCTTAAAATTTTAAACTAAAAATCTTAATTTCAGGATAATTCAGGAGTCAGGACATTTCACTGACTAATTCTTAAATACATCCTTTTAGAGTACACATTTTGTCCATAACAGTATGTGATTCTTCATTTTGATTCCTTTCTGCCCTTCTTCCCATTTCCCCCAGACAAATTATTTTTACAAAATAAAATGTTTTATCTTATTTTCAAGAAAGCATACATAAATCATCGTTCTTGATAGTTATTTACCTACGCAATGGATATGAATATACTCTGGATCAGAATCATGAAGAGTACTTCTCGATTATTTGTATGTACGTAAAACACCAATAATATCATCTTGCTCTCAAGTACTAATCATTTGTGTATCTATCTATATGTCTTCCTAACCATTCACTCAATTTTGCATTTCAACCTCCCGTTCTGGAAATCCACTGCTTAGCTTTAAAACCAACATCGTGTAAATGTAATGAAGCACACATGTTTGAGGATAATAATAATTGGTTGCACCACTTCAACCAAATTAGTAAAAACCATTAGAAAGAAAAAATAGAGTTCAAATTCTAACAATGACAAAAATAATACCTATAAAATAATCGAGCACAAATTGACCCTGAGACTACCATTATAATTTTTTTTTACTTGCACCATGTGCATGCATCATCAAATTAAATAAGATAAGATACAAATGCATCATCAAATTAAATAAGATAAGATACAAAGCTTGAAATTGCTAACGCTTTTCTCTAATGGATCTGGTAAATATGGCATAATCTTTTTATAAATCAAAAAGATTATTGTTTCTACTTTTCCCACAAAGATATGAAATCAAAATTCACATTATATCAGACCTCTTACTTCTCTGAAATCGGCATATTTATCCGTGTAATGCAAACAGGCACTATATCACTTTCAAACAATCTATCTATCCCAGAAAATATTCTCTTTTAGGAGGGATAGATTTAGTCTGAAGTCAAAGTCGTACACAATTTGCTCAAAATAAAAAAGAAATAAAGAAGAAGAAAGAAATGGGACTTTCTGCTTTCTAAAAAACGCCAAAATAACGAGAGCAAAAGCTATGGATGTTATAGAGATATTCTTTAGGGCGTTGAAGTTGAATTGTCAAGGGGATATATATGGGCAATTCGATCCAATTATGCAAAACTTTTGAAGCAGAAGAAGACACAAAATTAGAATGTGAGTTTGAAATTCAGTTCTGCACGCCTAATTGGTTTAGTGGTCCTTTTTTAAAGCTACTTCCACCTTGTAAATTACATATATGGAGTAGTGAAGAGTTGTGAGTTCCATTCGAGTTTCTTCATATACCACTTACCCATGCCCAATTTCGTAGCTTTGCTTCTTTTAGGGTGGGGAACCTACAAAAGTTTCCCTCTTCTTTCTCTTTTTTTATTTTTTTAAACGATCGACGCTCGTATCCGAGCAAATTAAAGTTGTGCGCATGCACCTATCAGGTATCTACTACCATAAGGTCAAATTAATATTACAAAAAATAGGTCACATTCTTGGAAAGGAATTACCTAACATTTCTTGGGTTCATTTTCTTAATTAGGTATTTTGGAGTAACTTTTCGGATACTGCGTATATTGCTTCTTCTTTTTTCGCAAATGAATGAACGTGTCAAAAGGAATGTTACTCCAAGTTCATAAAGTACTTAGAAGAAACAAAACAAGTTAAGGTCAATGTTATAAGGGCAAGTTAGATGGAAAGTTGCATATGCTGGTGCAAACTGGTGTCAAGGTGACCTCGCTAGCTAGCATGCCCAAGTTCAAGAATAGACCCCTCCATTTGTTAATGATGTCTTTTCTAGTTATCCAAGGGGATCTCACATGTAATTGCCCCCCCCCGCCCCCTCCCCCCCCCAAAAAAAAAAATTGAAGTTGAGATGCCAAGATTTTGAGCAGGAGAAGCTATTGGCTAACAAATGAGTTCCTTTTGAGTTTGATCCTATAGCTAGTGCCAAGGTTTAGAAAATGGATAAAATCTGGCCTCTACATTTAGTACAAGAAAAAAGGTAGACCAACAAAGATGTCGTTTTTTTTATAATCGATATTCGGTTCAACTTGTACACATCTAATCTATAATTAACCCACCATGCTTAAAGCAAAAATAACACTAGCATGCACTACTTGAAACTTATCCCCTTCTTGAGTAGAGGATAAGATAGCCTTTTCGCTCTTTCCCCTCTACGGCTTAATCCATCGTCTTCCTTCATTTTCCAATTTACAAGACCTAATATATATATATATATTATATTAAAAGCATAAACCCTTAAAGTTAAAAGTCAAATATATTTATCCTTTTTAAAAATCTAATTACTCCGCTTATAAAAAATTAAATAAAAGCAGCAAATTTATTTGAAGGGATGTAATCCTTCGGAACAAATACTAATGTCCCGAAAATTTTCTGTCCTAAAAAGCTGGCCAACAACTACTTAGAAGAAAATTAAATTAAAGTAACAAATTTGTTTGAAGGGACGCATACCTTCATAATAGGTTATTATTGTTCCGAACAGTTTCTATGTTCTCTGTGTGTTTGAATCTTTGAGATGTTCTATTTCAAAGTTCTTGTCATCATGGGATGAAAAATTATAAGGCACAATTATCTCTTTTGGGTCATCATCAGCAATAATTACATGGGATAATTTAGAAGGCTGATTGGCATGTAGTTACAAACCCGACAGTCATTTCTCAATTAGCGGTACTCCCTTGCTTCTTTTAATTATACTTTTAATTATACTGATAACATTAGCGTCTCATCATCTTAATTTTTCGTTATTCCGAAAAATATATTAATTCAAAGATGAAAAAATATCATCACATAACATTTATATATGTATCGTGCATTAGTTAGATCTTTTTCCCAAGAAAATAACTTCACCGTCTATTCTATTAGTAATGATTCAAAGCAAGTTGCCTAGCAATTTATGCTCTTTCTTCTCGCATTCTCATTATACTCAAGAGGCAGATGTAGTCTCGAGTTTATGGGTTTATCTGATTATAGTAAAAAATATGGTTTTGTCAAATCATTTAGCATAAGAAAGAAAGATGGAAACTGTTACTGAACAAAAAAACTAGACAATTATCAATTTCAAAGAAAAATATCTTCAGAAACATAAGAAGTCTGATAATTTAGAAGGAAGTTCAAATGTCGTCCAAAGATTAGGTCCAATGCTGCTAAGTTTTCGAGAGTTTACAAAAGCTACACGAAGGGAGACGGATGCATAAAAAAGTCTTCGCCCTTTTCACGGGAAAAATATTAATTTGTTTATTTATAATGTTTTAAATATTGTTTAAGGCTTGAAGTTTGTGATGGCGATGTATGATATACTTTTTGATACTACAAAATATTTTTGCTAGGTTTTCATGTCAATACATTCAATCTATCTCTCAGAAGGCCAAAATGTTATTTAAAGAAATTTTAGTATATTAACAGGTTGAGAATACTTTAATCAAAAGAAGACAAGTCAATTAAGTTTTTTTATAATAAATATTTCTAACATATGGACTATTTTTTTATGCTGCAGTAGCAAGAATACTATCTCAAGTTGGTATAGAGTAAAGAGAAATAATTCACTTTTCTTGTCAAAATTGATATGATAGTGAAAATTCAAGTAGGAGTTTAATTAAGAAAAAATAGCAATGATACGAAGGAAGAAGATGAAAAGAAATAATAAAGATCAACGTCCAATAATTAATAAAAAAATTAAAATTAAAAATAGATTAGCGGCCTTTCTTTTACATGTAAATGAACTTTGAACTGATATGATTTTGAAGTTGTATTTGTCGAAAAAGTATTACCGCTGGTGTATCAATCAAAATATCTGTTACATTACGGACATGTTCCAACTTCCGGAATCGGATTCCGACCCCGATATAAAAAAGTTCATTACCGGTCAAAATTCGACTTTCGTCATTTCAAGCCTAAATGAGTTACAGACCTCCAAAACACAATCTGGACATGCCCCTAAGCCCAAAATCATCCAACGGAGCTAACGGAACCGACGAAACTCCATTCCGGAGTCGTCTTCACATAATTCTGACTACGGTCAAAATCCTAAGTTTTAAGCTTCCGTTTTAGGGACAAAGTGTCCCAAATCACTCCGAATTATCCGGTAACTGAATTCAACCACGCACACAAGTCAATATACATAATACGAATCTGCTCAGGGTCTTATGCCACTAAACGAGACCTAAAT